CAAATGCACAGCAGGTAGAGGGGACAGGACTTGGGGGAAATCTCCAGAGGACAAGGTTGAGGGTTAAGACCATGGGGAGTGCTGAGGCCCAGGGAACTTAGATGAGCATTTATCTGACACTGCGGCCAGGGACTTGGGTCTTCTCCACATGGGTCTCTCTGGGATTATCTGACACGATCCCCATCAGTGATCTTTGCAGCTGTTGCATAAGCAATTAAATGAGAAGGGCTAAGTGACTGGGGACCTCAGAATCTCTTCACGTGGCTCAGTCTATGTGGCTTTAACAACTATTAGCTTTGAGAGACCCAGGATCGCTGTGTAGCCATACCTGGTCTGGAACTCTCTAGGCACACCAGGCTAGCCCCACACTCTTAGAGCTCTTCCTGTTATGGCCCCCCAAGTGCTGGAGTTAAAGGCATGAGCCTTTAATTAATGGACTTGGGCTGATCACCCACACTGGATTAATGCCCTCATCCTGTTTGGGATGGTGCAATATGGTAGATTTAAGAAAACCAGGATTGTTACGTGGTGGCTCTGGACTTCAGTGGCATAATTCCCAAAGAAGAACCTTGCAGGAGAGGCCTGACTTTATCTAACCACCAGGATCTGGTTACCTGGAGTTTACAGTGGACTCTTCCTGCTGTGGAGGACGTGACAGAGCTGTGCCCACATTCAGGGTGAAGGGACCCAGCCTCCACTTCTTAATGAGGATCTTGTCTGATTGTATAAGAGGAGGTAGGAGGAGCTACTGGGGCTGTTTGGGACAACATCATCTGCCACAGGCTGTAATGAATGAAGACAGGATGAAAGCCAGTGTTTCTCTGCTGTCCAGGAGCCCAGAAAGCTCTAGTTCCCAGGGACAGTCTCTTTGAAGCGCCTCTTGACAGCCCAGGTTTAAGGTGAGTTCAAAGGGCCCAGACATTACCTCTGCCCATCTCTTCCACGTGGCTCACTGCTGGGAGTGTTGGCTCAAATCAGAGAAGAAAACACAATAGCTCTTCTCTCTGTGGTTTTAGTTTCTGCTGTTTCAGGATGGTGAGCCACGGTCCCAAGTGATTACATAGAAATTCCAGAAATTAACAATTCAAAAGTTTAAAGTTGCACATAGCTTTGATGAAATCTTACAACATCTGCTTCACCCCACCTGGACTGTAAACACCCATTTGCTCAATGGGTCCATGCTGTGTATACCACCCACACAGTTAGTCACCTTGGCCCACTTGGCCATCAGATTGACTGTTGCAGACCTGCAGTCTTGTGTACATTTACTTAACAATGGCCCCCAAAGTCAAGAGTTGTGATCTGGGGATTTTATTTCAGCCTACTGTTATAATTGTTCTACTTTGGTAGAATTTGTTGAAATCTCCTCCTGTGACTAGTTTAAGAATTTTATTAGAGATGTGTGTATGTAGGGAAAACGCACAGTGTACAAGGGTTGACACTAGTGATGTTTCGGGCATCTGCTGATGGTCTCAGACAGTGTCTGTTGTGGACAGGGGTGACTGATGTGTACAGTGTCTGTGGTGGGCAGGGGTGACTGATGTTTACAGTATCTGTGGTGGACAGAGTGATTTCTGTGTATGGTGTCTGTGGTGGACAGGGGTGACTGCTGTGGATGGTGTCTGCTGTGGAAAGGGGTGACCACTGTGGACAGTGTCTGTGGTGGACAGGGGTGACCAATGTGTATCATACCTGTTGTGGACAGGGGCAACTGCTGTGTTTGGGTGCATTTGCTTAGCCCGCAGTGCAGGACCAGAAACTTGTGTCCATTCCAGAATCTCCTTCACCTGTCTTGAGTCCATCCTTCTGCTCTCCTTCCTTCCTTCCTTCCTTCCTTCTTTCCTTCTTTCCTTCTTTCCTTCCTTCCTTCCTTCCTTCCTTCCTTCCTTCCTTCCTTCCTTCCTTCCTTCCCACTGAATCTATTCTTGGCTCTTTGTTGAAGGAGTGACTGTCATCCTTGTGTGGCCTCTTGTGGATGGGGACACCTCTGCTTCTCTGAGATGTTTTTGCTGTGCTCCCTGTTGGTCCCCAGTCACTTAATCCTGTCTGTTCTTGTCTTGCTGGCTTGACCTCTCTCTGGCCCTAGGCAGGACCTTCCTTTCTTCTTGGGTCTCTTCCTCTGGTATCTACACCTTCTCCTTTCTCCTGGATGGCCCCTTCTCCTTGCTACACATCCCTGATACTCTTCTCTCTCTCTCTCTCTCTCTCTCTCTCTCTCTCTCTCTCTCTCTCTCTCTCTCTCTCTCTCTCACTCAACTCCTCTGTCCTTAGAAGTAGTGATGGCACGGTCCGTTTCCTGTCTCTCTGCCTATTTTGTGAGCTCTGGCTTCTCAGTCCCTTCCTGCTGGATAGCCATTCTAGCTGATTATCACCTATCTCAGGCCCACTGGACCAGGTTAGCTCAGCATGCTTCCGGGGTCCCCTGTCACAGAACAGCACCATCCTGCCTGGGAAGACAATAAAGTAGCCTATAGATTGGATGCAGTTAGTCCACATCAAGATGTATCCTTTACGCACTCACTTAAAGTGTGTATGGAGCTTCAGAAGACCCAGATAGGCAAAGTGAGCCTGAGAAGAAGAGCTGGAGGCACACAATGCCTGGCTTCAAATCCTACTGGAAATAGCACAGTGAGGATGGAAATGAACACATAGACAGATAGAGAAGGGAAGCCAGAGGCAGATCCGCACATCCATCAACAGAGGTGCCAAAACTGCACGCTTAAGAGTGGACAGTCTGTTCAATAACTGGTTTAGGAACATCAGCGGTCCATGGGCAGAAGAAAGAAATTAAGATCCCCTTCTCTTACCATGGGCAAAGGTAGCTGAAAGTGGGTGGAAGACGTAAAAGTCAGACCAGAAGTTATGAAACTACTGGAAGGGGAGGCACTGAAAGATGTTGAGCTGGGCAAAAACAAACAAAACAAAACAAAACAAAACGAAACAAAAAACAGGACTATGGGGGCTGGAGAGATGGCTCAGAGATTAAGAGCACTGGCTGCTCTTCCAGGGGTCCTGAGTTCAATTCCCAGCAACCACATGGTGGCTCACAGCCATCTACAATTCAATCTGGTGCCCTCTTCTGGCATGTAGACAGAACAGTGTATATGCAACAAATAAATAAACCTTAAAAAATGAACTTAAAAAAAAAAAACAGGACTATGGATGTGGCCTTAAAAGCACAAAGGACAGATCTAAAGCAGACAAGTGGGACTGCAGTAAATCTAAAGCTTTCGTCCAGCAAAGAGAAGAAGTAATCGAGCCCGGAGGCAGCCAGCAGAGCAGAGGGAAACGTTTTCAAACTATTTTATCTGACAAGAGATTAAGTTCCAGGAGATATAATGAACTCAAACTCACCTACTTCTTAATAATCTGTTCAAAGGAGGTGAATGAGCCGAACTCTAAACCCAGCACCCCAGAGGCAGAGGCAGGTGGATCTCTGTGAGTTCAAGGCCAGACTGGTCTACAAAGTGAGTTCCAGGACAACCAAAGCTATGTAGAGAAATCTTGTTTCAAACAAAACAAACCAATCAACCAACCAAACAAACAAAAATAGGTGAATAACTTGCTTATTTAACACTCAAAAGAGGATTTACTAAGGGCCAAGAAGCACAGAAAAACAACAACTAACGAACAAAAAAACAGCCAGGTAGGGTAGCACCCTGTGGTCCAGTCCTTAGTAGGCTGAAGATGGAGGTTCCCTAGTTTGAAGTCAGTCTGAGATACAGTTTCAAGAACAAAGTTGAGGAACCATTGAGATGGTTCAGCTGGTAAAAGTGCTTGCTGCCAAGCCTGACAACCTGAGTTTGATCCCCAAGATCCACATGGTAGAAGGAGAAAACTGACTCCTGCAAACTGTCCTCTGACCCTCCTCCCCCGTGCTCTTCTGTAAGTCCCCTGCCACGAGCAACATGCATACAAAATCAGTCAGTCAATACTTTAAAAAAAATCTGAGATGGCCACCTCATTCTTGGGTCTACACCCAAAGACATCAAGCCCATAGTTGTGGAGGAGACACATGTTCTTGCCTGTAATGAAGCACTTTTCTCAGCTGCCAAGATCTGAATTAACCTAAGCATCCACCAAAACTGAGCAGATGAAGAAAATAAAGGAGATATACACAGCAAGTATTCATCGGCCATGAAAAGAACACAGTTCTGCCTGCCATTATCAGCAATAGGGATGAACTGGACAACATTGCTTTAAATGAAATAAATCAGGGGCATACTGATAAGGACAAGTACTGCATGTCCCCATCTATATATGAAAACAGAAGTTTATCTTTTCCAGTTTTTTCCTTGCATTTACTTACTTATTTTGTATGTCTGTGTGAGTGTGGGCTGTGGCACATGCATGAAGGTCGGAGGACAACTTTGCGGAGTCATTTCTCTCTTTCCACTGTAAGGGTCCCAGTTGTCAAACTCAGGCCATCAGGCTTAGTGGCAGTTGCTTTGCCCTCTGAGTCATCCCTCCAGCCCCAAGAACAGAAAACTGGACTAGTGAAGTGACACCCCATACCCTGAATAAACACTTTGTAATAAAGAGGAACAGAACAGTGATTGCCAGGCTGTGGGGGAGAAGGAGTAAGGCCAGCCAGCCAGCAGGTGCAGAGAGGGGCAAAGGAGTTTCCAAGGTCCTATAGCTCACAGGACCACCACTCTGTTATCAGCGAGGAATTGGCTGTTTTAAAGCAGCTGGTAGAGAGGATTTTGAATGTTCCCAATACACAGAATTGAGAGTACCCCTGGGGCGGGGGATACGTTGGCTACTCTGATCTTATACCTTGTGCACCTGTATCGAAATAGGCATGGACATGTGGAGTCGCTGTGCTGTCATTAGTGTTTTTAAAATCCCATCGAGTCAGAAGACACAGAATGCCACTAATGGGTGTTTCTTTCTGCCACGGTTTAATTGTGTGAATTCCAAGCAAGTCTGTTGTCAAGCCATCTTTTTATTTTTAGATTAACTTATTTTGTTTTACGCCTATGAGTGTTTCACCTGCATGTATGTCTGTGCACCAAGGCGTGTCTAGTGCTGGGAACCAAACCCAGGTCTTCTGCAAGAGCTGTTTTTCCAGCCCCAGGCCATCCAAGAACTCAACCATGTATTCATCTGTTCCGCCGCAGACAGTTATTTCGTATGTTCTGGATCCAGACACTGCTCTGGTAGCTTATATTCTACAAAGGACAGAAATATAATTAGCAGATAAGTAATGGAACACACTGCAGGGGACTTGCTGTTAAGGGCTGGGAGACATAGAGCTGGGTGAGGAGTTGGGTCAGGGAGATGGGAAGAACTTTCAGGCAAAAAGAGATCAAAAGGAAATGCAGGCGGGATAGGAGGTGTTGAGTCTCCCCAAATTCCATGGCCCCCACCCTCATCCCATTGTCCCCAGAACCAAGGCTCCTACCTCCCAGTCGATCCCTTTGTCACCTTCCTCATCCTTTCCTCTCACGCCCTTTCTCTCTTTCTTTCCTCCCTCCCTCCCTCCCTCCCTTCCTTCCTTCCTTCCTTCCTTCCTTCCTTCCTTCCTTCCTTCCTTCCTTCCTTCCTCCCTCCCTTCCTCCCTTCCTCCCTTGATCCCTTCCTTCCTTCTTTCCTTCTTTCTTTTTTTCCTTCCTTCCTTTACTAAATCTTGCTGGTGTGGCTGGAATTTCAAGTCGGTGCCACAGCACAGACCTTTCTTCATGACTTCTTACCTTTGACCCACAATCAATAGATGGCTTGCTTCCAGAAAGAAACAGGGATGTGAGATCTCGTCTTTCATATCATATGGGCATCTCTCTGGAAAGACTTTATTCTGTTCTGTTTACAAAAACTAACCACTGTGCTGGTAGTCACCAGTGGAGAGGGCACTAGGCAGGGAGCTGTAGATGGTCCTGGGGTCTGAGGGACGCCTTTAGCAGGTAGTGTGTTAGAAACTTAGGAGAGAGCACGGTGAGAAAAGCCCTGAGAAGCCAACCAACTCTGCTGCCATCCTGGCCCAGATCCAGTGTTTCCAGTTGGTCTACCCCAAAATCTGCCTCTATCTATGAACTGCTGGAATGCATGGAGGAGAGGGTCGTGCAGAACCAGATGTCATCACTGAATAGGGCCAGTCCTAGGACCACTGTCTGGCCCCCAGCTTGGAGCTGCTGCAGCTGCAGCCTACACTACTTTCCCTGATAGTATATGGAGTGTGTGTGTGTGTGTGTGTGTGTGTGTGTGTGTGTGTGTGTGTGTGTGTGTGCAATGGTGCTGCGCACAGGCTACAAACACAAAGCCTCAGGGAAGCTGACACCAAAGGCTAAGAGATGTATGACATCCTGGAACTCACATAGAACCTGCCCCCAAACACCCTGCCAAGCCACAAGATTACACTGACTTTGGGCAATAGTAGGGTATCTAAGATGAGTTCCTGTAATGGTCCAATATTTAAGGTACATCAGAAACCAGAACCTTTGAACCATATCAATGATTCACTGCAATGACTATTTGCATGTAAAACTGTTTGGGCAATAAATATACAGGTATGGTTAAGACTAATGGACACGGGCTGTGAACACAAACCTTGAGTGGAAGCTGCTGTGTTAGAGCTACTAGGGGGTATTGGATTTTGACCTTCTAGCTAGTTGTAGCTGGGGTGGAAGAATCAGAAATCTCTACAACCCACTGTATTCTGCAAGCAAGCTATTGTTTTGGCATCTGTGAAAGCTTAGTTCTGTGGGCAACCTGTGTTCCCAGTAGGAGTGAGACTGATCCAGCCTGGGGAAGAGAGAATCACCAGGGTGAGGTAGCAGGAAAGCCCAGGCCTCTGCAGGATGTGAACAGAATGCAGAGTCTCGGGGACAAAGGGCACAGCGGTCACCTAGGAGGCTGGCTGGTTCTGCCTTTGCCTTTTAATAGCCCAGGTGCTGGGTAACCATTTCCCCAATAGGCTCCCCTGGGCCTTGGAGGATGTTTGGCAGTGCCAGGGTATTTTTAGCCCTCTAGCAACTAGAGCAAAGCACTCAGCAGGCCAGCCTTGTTCTGGGGCTCTGAGACACACTTGGTGGTTTTCACAGAGGGGAATATGAGTTCTGTGGGTCTGGTCCAGTTCCCTGTCTCACTCCTGGGCTCTTTCAGGGGTCTTCAAGAGGGATGTCTGGTCCTCATTAGCTGGTTGCCATTGGGGATGCCTACCCAGGTGTTCATAGAAAGGAGAGAGCATGAAAGCTTTTCTTTTACCAGGACAGGAAGGGTGCAGAACCAGAGGCTGCCTGGATGGCTGCTAGCTACTCTCTGGGGGAGATAATGATGTGGACTAGGACCATGTGTGTTCTACGGGCAAAACAGAGAGCTCCAGGTTAAGTGTGGTGTGGAGGACCAGTGGACCCCAGGCAGAGGGAGGGAAGAGGTGGGCAAGGGTGACAGAAAACCACTTCCTGGGGACCCTGGGAAAGACATTCAGGGCTAGCTTGCTGCTCACCATCCTGATGTTGCATTCACAATGTTTGCAGTTAACAGGTCAGTCTTGAACATTGATCTGACAAATATTTGCTTAGATCACTGACCTAGGGGACTTCCCATGCCAACCCCTCCCCAGTGGCAACCTGAGAACTGGTGGCTTGAACCCTGAGTGGTCATGTCCGGAAGAGAACTCTCCCACCTGTGGGTGTGGGCTGGGGACTGGGATCTTGGGTAGCCACCTGCAAGAGATTCTTTGCAGTGGCTCCTTGGTGCAGGTGGTCAGAAGCGGTCAAGATGTGTGGCAGCTGCCCACACAGAGACACTCCACAAGGTCTAGGCTGACTGGGTCCTGTTTCCCACACCAGTCACCTTGTCTACCCAAGCCTGGGAAGGAGAGAGAGACCTTGTTTTCCAGAGAAAACAGATGGAGGCCCAGGGAGGCTGGAGTCAGAGTTTGGGAAAATTTCTGTTTCTCTCAACACCCACATTGACATTTGCATTTGATTAGGAACACACACACACATACACACACACACACACGCACACCACCACCACCACCACCACCATCATCATCATTGTCATCATCACCCCATTATTGGGCCATTTCCCTCAGGCTGCCACCACCCTGGATCCAGTTCTGACTCAGCCATCATCTCCTACGAAATTCTTGCAACTCTGGTTCTTGCTTTGCTCCATTTGCCTGGAAGTCAGGAAAGATTAAACAGCGTGGCCAAGCTTACACAGTGAATGGGGAAGCTGAGGTCAAATCAAGATGTGTGCTATCTCCCACGAGAGGAAGAGAAGACCAGAAGAACTTATGTGCCTGTTCTTGAAGATTCCAGAGCAGGGGCTGATGGGCAGGTCTGAACAATACAGAGCCGCTGTGTGTGAACTAGCTTCTTGTGTACGGCTGTGTTATGGATGCTCCTGGGCTTGGGAACTGAGTAGCAATAGGCCTTCTTAGTGCCAAATTGGGGGAGAACCTGTGAACTCAGGGTGCCTTAGGCTTTAAAGACTGACTAAAATGAAATGGCGTTTTGTGTAGGGTTCTCTGTCCCATGAAGCCAGGCTGTCACTAAATAAAACCTCTGAGTATTGTTGTTATTATTATTATGAATTATTATTATTTAGTGCCTTCACCTGGCCTATTCCCACATGCAAGCTGCCTTCTCATGTCTGCTGTGGTGGTCTTTATTTTTCCTCCTTGTGATGCATGTCCTCATTTTTACACTGTGGAGACCCTGGCGTCCTTTCCCGATGCTCTCCGGGCTCATCATCTCAGTTCACTCTGAGCATTGACACCACAGTGTCTGATCGCTGTGTTACCATTTTCCGTGTTGTCTTGGACTGTCTTGCTCACTCATTTAAAGGAGGTAATGGTTGCTTGACTGACAGGCAGTGGTATGCTGGGAAAACAGCTGTCTGGGAGAAAAAGCACCTGATGAGAAGAGCCAGCCAAATCTCATGGTGTAAATGTTCCCACCATAGTCAATGTCAAGCTAGAATAATTTATAAAAATCCCTGAGCAGGTGAAGGCGGGCTCTCTCCAGCTAGCTGTTCCTGGGCCTGCTGCTTTGTTCTCTTAATGTTTGGGCTTAGTAGGCGGGCCCAGCCTGTGCCACAAACCCTTGAAGACAGTTCCTTTTCCAAAGCACTTACTTTGTTTCTGGAAGAATTAGAACGGACGTCAGGGAAGAGCCTTTTCAAGTAGATCTGGTGGCACTCCTTCCCTGCTCCCTGTATCTAATGTTCCTTGGTGACTTCATAAAGACCTAGGGCTGATTCCTTCCCTTTGTCACCTGCAGTTGAATAGGGAAGGAGCGACTCTATGCAGTTCCAAGGTTGGATTTCCAGAGGCCCTGCATCTTTTTTGTTGTTGGGCCAATACATTTATTGAAACCCATTTTGCATATAGTTCATAGTTCAATCAGATAACCTATAAATATAACAACATTTTTCCCTTTGGACATCACTGTAGTCCATGTAAGTACTCAACAGTCAGTCATCTGAGCAAGTGCTCCAGGTCTTACTGCTAGGTTACAGACCTGAGTACACGTCACTCAGCAATGGCACTGATGCACTTAAGTAGCTCAGGGGCTTTCGAATGTGACCACTGGAGGCCCTGCATCTTACTGTGCTTCTCTTGGGACTTGACCAGCTCTCCTGTATGATGCCCGCACTGCCATGCTTAGACCATCTTTCAGGGAGCCAGACTCTGAAGGGCAGAGATACACCATCTTTGGTGAGTGATCCCAGATGAACTAGTTTCCAGAAATCTGACAGCAGGCCAGATGCCCAAGTAAACTAGCTGGGAACAAAAGGGTTACCCAGCCAAGCCCAACCTGCATGGCCCTTGGAAGCTAAATGTTCTAAGCACTAAATGTTTGCTTAGTTTTTCTCTTTTTTCTTTTTGTTGTTAAATAAAGCAGAAGCCAACTGATATAGCATCCTGATGTGATTTTTGTTGTTGTTGTTGTTGTTCTTATTTTATGAGACAGGGTTGCCCTGTATAGCCCTGGCTGTCCTAGAGTTAGATATATAGACCAAGTTGGCCTTGAAAGTACAGAGATCCTCTGCCTCTGCCTCTCAGTTCTGGAATTAAGGTGTGTGCCACCACACTCCGCCCATCCTTGCACTTATTAGGAGCTTAGTTCTGGTTGCATTACCCATATCTGAGTGAGGTAAAGGTAGAGCTTGTGTCTGTTAACCACAGACAAGCATTCCAGTTGCCAGCACAACTGACCCCTAGCATCCATCTTCTGGAACAGTCTCCCCACCACCTTAAGGAGTCCATAGGAACCCTGACATGTCTAAATTGCTAGCAAGGTGGTTGTGGAGAAAGTAGCTAGAAGAGAAAAAGAAATTACTGCTAAGGAAGAGACCTTGGGCGTTTACTGAGACAATAAGGAAGGTGCCCGGAGAGCAAGAATCCACTGAAGAGTCTGCAGGATGTGGACACTGATTAGACCAGAGCTAAGCTGATTTGGCCTTTGACTTTGCCTGCGTCATAGTGACCTGGGTTGGAAATTGCCCTGCCCCCACCTGATCAATGAAGACCTAGTTACCCTTTCCAGGAAATGTACAGACAAGAACAGGAAACTGGCAAGTTGCCTAATTTTCTTCCCTTGCAAAAGCAATTTTATTGTTTTGGTTGAACAAAAACATCCTAATGTGTTGCGGGTAGGAAAGAGAAAGACACCAGGATGTGAAACTAGACTAGATACATTTCTACTTTTGGCTGGAGCGTCCTTGCCTGTAACCTGGGAAAGAACTGTGTAAAACTGAACTCCACCCATTCTGCCCTCTAGAGTTGAGCTGTCGAAAGTCCCTGGTGGGTGGCAAAGGGGCACTCTAGATCAGAGCAAGCAGCTCATGAAACAGTCTTGTGGCTGCTCGGGGGCCTTGTCGTTTCCCTCCAGCCAGCTGTGTGACCTTGAGTAAATGACCCAACCCCTCTAAGACTCCACATCATGCTGCCTCCTTCACCATAGAGTATTTCCCACACATTTAAAGATACACACGTGGAGATCTAGACAACCCTGGCATGTGACGTCTATGCTGCGAATGGAGGTGTGTGTAAATTTGGTTCCATCACTGTCCATTGTGATGACATGGATATAGTGATGGTATCACACTGTGACAGCTTCATAATTATTTAATCTTAGGACATCATAAGAGCCCACACACCAACATTAGTTCTTCCATTACAGTGGTGTATTTCATTAATAAGCTTTGTGATACTGAACAGATGATCTCACTTCTCTGGTTGTCTATTTCTTACTCTAAAGTATAATGTCTTGTAAAACTTTTCCAATGTCAAATCCCAGTAAATATTGAAGAAAACATACCTACTGAGCTGTATGGTTTAGTTCTTAGTTCACATGCAACCTGTTTTATCTACTTTTAAGAAATTTTATTGACTCAAAGGTCTAATTTGGCCTCAAACGTGTGTGCATGTATGTGTGTATGCATATATAATGCATGTGAATATATGTGTGCATGTATATATACATATACACATATTGTATATGCACACACACACACACAGAACTTTGGGGATGTTCTCATTTTCAGTTTCGGGATCTTAACTTTATGCAGTCATTCACGGAAACCTGGTGCGTTTTCTATGAAACTTCTCTGGTACTTAGTGCAGAGAGCTGTGACAGGATAGAAAGAAACAGTCATGTTTAATCTGTAGCTGCAGCAGCCATCAGGCCCTCTGCTAGAGTGTGGTTCCTGCTCACACTGCTCAAGAACTGCTGTGTGGAAAGGCAGTCATCCTGGTTTCCCAGGCCAGGTGTCATTTTCTAATCTTAAACCTTGTATGGCTACCCCCTTCTGTTGGGGACAGCCCACCACAACTTTCCCCCTTTCTGCTCTCCCCTCTATAGATATCTGGCTCTCATACTCAAAGGCCTCGGCTGAGGAAGTCTCCTATTTTAGGTAGGCTAGGGAGACCTTTCCATTCTCACAGTAAACTTGCTATTTCTCTCCCCAGGCTGGATTCCATACTCTGCCAGCTTGCAGGGCCCTGAGGTCTATGGACTACATTTCCCAGAATCCCTAGCTCACTGTCTTCCTGGTGGGTGTAGCCAATGGGAGACACTAGCAGAAGATTGGTGCTCTGAGGAAGGGAGAAGCTGAGGTGGGAGGTGGGCCGACACCAGCTCTCTCTGCTCAGGACAGTAGCCACTGATCCCCTCCTGCCTGGCTCCAAGTTCCAGCTGTAGATATGACTCCCTTCTTCTTTGTCCCTTCAGCCCAAGGAAGCAGCAGTTTCGAGCAGATTCCAGTCTCTTCCTGCTCTTCTGTCATCTTTTAACTAGGATAGTGTGTGAAATCGCGTTTGAATCGTTCATCCTAAGCTCTGTTTTTCTGATGGGATTCTGCCTGCTGCAACTACCTTGACAGACATCTAAGTAGACAATGTGCCTCTGTATCCACAGGCTCCAGTAACTGAGGATTGAAAATATCCATACCAAAAAAAAATGCAGACTTTTTCTTGTCACTTCCCTCTAAGCAGTACAGTGTAACAACTATTTCCATAGCATCAACATTGGTTATGAGTCATGTAGAAATGGTTAAAGTACATGGGAGGATGTTTGTAGATTATATGGAAGGATTTCACCATTTTAGTAGTGTGTGTGTGTGTGTGTGTGTGTGTGTGTATGCATACGTGCGTGTGTGCATGGCCTGAGATCAGACCGGATTTAGGAGTGCATTAAGTAGAGAATGTCTTTTGCTCCCTTGAACTCCTGGCTCCTGACATATTCTATGTCCAACAGTCTCCAGGGTCAGTGAGGGCCTCCTAGGTAGGAGTGAGACAGTCCGGTTGAGCTGGCTCTGACCTCAGTGACTGACCAAAGAAAACATGTGTGGGCAATTAAACGATGAAGTCTACCGGTCAAGTTGACGATGCAAATGCTGAATGTAGGGCTCAGCTACTGCAGGAATCCCCACTGCTCAGGTGAGGTATCCTGGGGGTCAGACTCTGGAGGGGAGCTACCCTATGCCCTCTACTACACTTAAAAGTGAAGCAGAGAAAGGCTGCTAATGGCCTGCCCCAAGCATCTTTGCTTATCTTACCACTTCCTAGATGTGATATGAGTTTCCTTGATCTGGTTTTCCTTGATGACCTGTCTATGCAGAAATCAATGGATGGGATCCTGGTCCAGAAGAAAGGCATGGCTTTTAACCCCCCATTATTTATTTCCCTGTCCAGTTCTAGCCATGCTGAGGGAGCTCATTCATGATTGACTGGACCTTCATGGCACCTTCTAGAATAGTTTATGGAATCATCTAGATGGGTATGTTCTCTTGGCTGATCAGCTCTTTACTTGATGGTGAGGGGCACAGCAGATTGGGGAGCTCTGCAGAGCCTCAAGATAGGGCAGGACTTTCCTTTCCTGGGCTGCCTGGAGTCACTGCAGACCTGCCCCTCTAGGACCCCAGAGCCAATGTTTCCCAGTGGGTCCATTCCTTGTACCTTGTTCCCTTCATTTAAGGAATGTCAAATGCCAGTCACCCCATGATGTTGTCCTGTCCCCACCCATTCTGTGAGATGGAAACGTTATTTCTCTTAATAATCAAACACCACCACCCCACCACCACCACCCCCTAGTTCACTGACTCCTGGGACATCTACCTCACTCCTTGGAGGATTACCTAGTTCATCCTAAACAGGTCACTATCCTTGGTGCTCAAAGTCAGGGGACCTATCTGTGAGTTGTCCTGTCCATTCATGTGATCCTGTTTTTTGCACCTGCAGCAGGTTGCCCGCTGGTCCTTTCCTGTTTGAGACCCAGCCAGAGGCCATCAGTTTGCAGCTGTCTACCCCTATCTTGGAGTCCCTGTTGCTCAGTATGGAAATTCACGTGGGGCAGATGTTTTTGGCAAACCACTGGGCTGTGGCTAACCTGGAGGGTGGGGTGAGTGCACGTGTGTGAGGGTTCCTTTCCTCCCTGGGCCATCTGGGCTCTTTGGTGGAGGAAGCTATAGATGTATTTATAGTGTCAATGACTAATGGAAGTCTGGTAATAAATAATGGTGGCCAAGAATTTTGGAAGCATGCCAACCTTGGAATCAAATTCCTCCCCAGCTGCATCTAGGGTCAGGAGGCTTCTATTATGTGCCAGATATAAGCCCCTGGTTAGAATTGAGAGGTTCCTTCTGCCACAGAGAAGGAAACAGAAGCTTAGAGAAGAGCAGAGACTTGATCCAAATACCCTAGTTTATGAATCTTATTAGATTTCTACCAGAGTCTGGGAAAATTGAAGCCACTACCAGAGCAGCTCTTCTAGAGACTCGGTTCCTGGTACTGCAAGCATTCACTGATCATGGGGACAGCAGGGCCTCCCAGACCATAGTGTCAGAAAAAAGTGCTCTCTGGAGCCTACTCTGGGAATGCACTTTCAGAACATGTTCTGGGGTCCACAGAAGCTCCCCAACCCTTGAAAGAGACCCTGAGGAGCTTCTCGGAGGAGACAGTTAAGTCAGGAAAGCTTTGTCAAATCCCCCATCTATTTATTTATCATCTATCCATCTATCTATCACCTGTTTACTGATGAGCAATTGGTTGGTTTGTGGTGCTGGGAATGGAATCCAAGGATTATACAAGGTAGACAAGCACTCTATCCTGGAACCTTATTCCCATCTCCAAGTCTCACTCAAAAAATGAAACAGGCCAGGCGATGGTGGTGCGCACCTTTAATCCCAGCACTCAGGAAGCAGAGGCAGGAGGATCTCTGTGAGTTTGAGGCCAGCCTGATCTACAGAGCCAATTCCAGGACAGCCAGGACTGTTATACAGAGAAACCTTGTCTTGAAACCCTCTCCACAAAGAAAAAAGTGAAACAGAGCATGCCCATGAGATGTTTTGTAATGGTTTCAATGTATATGTTATATACATGGGGGTACATGTGTAGATATATAGGTTTGATTGTACATGACAATGCGTTTCTGTATGTTTTTGTGGGTATAAACACACATGTATTGTGGACTGGCTTGTAAGAACATATGCACTGTTTATGTATATAATTTTAAGAATACATGTGTATGTTTACACACGTATATGTAAGTGTTAGTGAGGAATAACCCAGACCCTGGCATCATGTTAGATCTGACTATGTTGTTCTTTTTTAAGGGAGCAGGTGATAGTGCCCAGTGCTGTGATGAGCCACCTGGCTGGTAGGTCCAGCCTCCTATTGTCATCTTTCGGCCTCAACTTCCTTCCTGCTGAGCTCTTCATTTGCAGCTCCGACTTCCAGTTTGTTGCTGCCTAAAGACGACCAACAAAGCAACGCACGCTCCTTGTTAAACAAGCCAGAAGGCCTTTAGGCATACAAAGAAGATAAAAATTGTCCTTTGTCCCCAGAGCAAGAGTCCCAGATGTTGCTTAACAGAATTTTCCTCTCCAAGGTACGGGCAGTGACTTGAGGGTCAGAAGAGAAAGCAATGGGAATGCTGCCGTTATGTGGGCCTCTGCTCTCTGACCCCACAGTCGAGCTTAGATCTCAAGGATTCTCTTTCACCTTGCTCCTGCTGTTATTGAATTCCTCAGGAATCATGAAGTCCTGAGGTGGCCAGTCTTGCTCAAGCCATGGAGACAGACACACAGAGCTGGGTCTAATCCTGAGCGCTGCTTCACTTTGCTGACTCAGCTACCCAGTCTCTAAGCAACTGTGTCCCCATCTGTAAAATGGGATAAAGACAGCTGAATCCCAGGCATCAGCCTGGGAAGCCAGCATGGGACTGATCAAGACCCCCTGAATCTGGGTGTCAGTGAGGAGGCCTAGGGAATCTATTGAGCCTTGGGCAGCAGATCAGTACCCATCCCAAGTATACACACGGACTTTGGACTCCCATAGAACAATGTGAGGTACACTCTCACCCCGAACTCTTGGGGAAGGGTCTAGGCCCTGCCCTATATGAAATGACAGACTATGCACACCCCCATGGAGGGCCTCACCCTCCCTGGGGAAATGAGGGGATAAGAGGGGGGGAGGGCTCTGGAGGAAGGGAGGGAATGGGAGAGGGACCTGGAACTGACTTGTGAAGCAACCTTGTTTCTTATCTAAATTTAAACTGGAAAATAAAATAAAAAAAAAAAGACAGCCACCTTCAAGGGCAATGGTGGGGGTTCGAGTGGTGCCTGTCCTTTCTCTGCCCGCTTTTGTACTACCATCTCCATGTCCCCCCCTGCCCCCCACTTTCCACTTTCCACTTTGCAGAGGGCTCCCTTAACTGTGGCTGTCAGGTAGGTTTGGCCAAATGAGTGGAGGCTGAAGAGTGGAGGCTGGGGAAGCCAGTATCTTGTCATCTTCCTTTGCTGACAGTAGTGTCTCTGGCAGTGGTGGCTCCAGTTCCTGCTGGTGGCTTCAGATCATTGACTCAGGTGCACCTGCCTTACTGTGCTTTCCTCTCTTGTCCAGGCCTAGTGGTGGCGACAATAACTTCCATCTGTCTTAGTCCCAGTTTGGCTCCTCAGCAATTCAAAGTTCAAAAGCCAGTTCCTTACATTAAGTTCCCTGTGCTGAGAGGCCTGGGGTGGTTGTGGTTTTATGCTAAGGCCTATGCAATATGGAAACGACAAGCAGAGCACCGTGGTCTGCAGCCGTGGCCCCTTATGAACTTGTGACGGTTTTACTGGGTAAATCAAGGCTTACATAAGGCCTGCCTTCTTCCTCTTGACCCAATGGCTCTTTTCCATTTTGCGGTAGCATGGCCCAGGAGTATGGAGGTAGGTTCTGGAGTAAGAGAGGCTGCTCTGCTCTGAATCTCAGACTTGTCCTTCCTAGCTGGGCTTGGTATAGCTCAGTGGTAGAGCATCTGCCTAGAATATAGGGTCCTGGCTTCTATCCCAGCGCTGAAACACAAAAGACAACAAACAGCTCCAGCTGTAGTATCTATAGCTATGGGATAAGGATGGTTAATCAATGGAGATGATGTATGCTCAGTGTTTGATGTGTACAAGTGATCACATTTATTGAATATTATGATTAAACTGCTACCACAGCCCCTTCTTTCAAGTACACAGGGGTCTTTTCGCTTGGATTTGTGCTGTGGGATATTTGTACATCGTGGAAATGTATTACTGTGATTGGTATAATAAAAATCTGAACAGCCAATAGCTAGGCAGGATAGGCGGGATTTCTGTGGGAGATCGAAGAAGAGAAGGAATCCAGATGGACATATAGAATGGGATAGAGGTAAAGCCACATGGTAAAACATAGATTAATAGAGTCAGGGTAATTACGTTATAAAAGCTAGTGGGACAAGCCTAAGCTAAGGCTGAGCTTTCATAATTAATTAGCCTCTGTGTCATTATTTTGGAGATTGATGGTAGGACAAAGATTCGTTTCAGATTTGGGTTACTGGACATAAAAATGACTTACTGTTGTTCTTCCCAATATCTCTCTATATGAAGAGCTCAGTGAGTAAGTTTTCACAGCTGCAAAATAATGGGAAAAGAAAGAAAAAGATCCAGAACCTTCCCTTCCAACAGAGCATCCGTGGACTGAGATCACCCTCCAAAGATGGGAACCTGTCCATGAAGCACAGCTGGACCTTGAGAGGTTTCTGATGGGTGGAGCCAAGGCCTAATCACTCCTGGCTGGAGGGCCTGGCCTGGTGCCTGTGGAAGTCAGGCAAATGAATATATGTCAGCTGGAAATCTATCCCTCCCTACAAGACACTTAGAAGTAGCATTTGCAGTCCCTCTGCTCCTTCTTCCCTCCAGGTCCCCTCCAGGCCCCAAAGCTTGCTTTGCCTGCAACAGCTTTTTTTGTTTTTCTTTCTTTTTTTATTTTTTGGTTTTTTGAGACAGGGTTTCTCTGTATTGTTTTGAAGGCTGTCCTGGAACTCGCTCTGTAGACCAGGCTGACCTCGAACTCACAGGGATCCACCTGTCTCTGCCTCCGGAGTGCTGGGATTAAAGGCATGCGCCACCAACGCCTGGCTTGCCTGCAACATCTCTTCATTTCTTTTCTACCCAGAAAAATTCTACATATCCGTCAAGACCCAGCTGAATCTTGACGCACAATTAAGCACGTCCGTCCTGTGTGTTCGAGAGTATGCCCCTTGTGCGGTGGCACTTTCACTTCTGTGTACCTTTAATAACTCATAAATGCTTTTATCGTGGCACCTGGCACGTTTCTACAACAGCAACAGGCATAGCGGCAACTGGCCATGCCAACAGCCATAGCCTCAGTCGGGACTGTTGGTGGCAGCTGTTAAGTATTCGCCGAGTGGTAGATACTCGGTGTAACCTTCCCACCCGGACCCTCATCGTTTCTCTATGAAGTGTTTGCATTTTACACACGAGGGCACACACCGGTTCTCAGATCTACTGCACCCTGGTTCACTCTCTCGTTTTCCCTGTGAGCCCTCGGAGGCGAAAAAAGGAGACCTGGGTATACCCTGTCTCTGTACCCAGACACGGACAGGGTGCCTGATACCAAGCGATCACGATCACCTAAATGCGGTACAAAATAAAAGAGCTTTCTATGGCACGGATGTGCGGAGGTTTGTTAAACCATTTCCAACGTGTTGCTCTAGTTCCGGATATTCTATCTTTCTTGGACTGGATTATTTCCTTTGGGTCAGTTCCTGGGAGTGGAGCGACTGGATCCGAGGATGTGGCGCTTCTTCGCTCCGCCACGTCATCTTCCGCCTTGCGGAGCCCTGCGGAGCGAACGAGCTAAGCGATCGTGGCAGCCCTGAAAGCCTGGTTCCCACCTCGACCTTGACGCGGTTGTCCTGCAGGTGCCTCGGAGCGCCCAGGGCCGGAGCTCTGCACCGCAGCATTTAGATAGTGATCAGGGCCGCGGGACCTGCACGCTCCCGCCACAGCCGCGACCCCCCCCCCTCCGCTCCCTCCCCCATCCCACCCCGCCAGCAGCTGCCTCGTTGGCAGTTGGATTAGGCCTGGGGGCGGGGACCAGACCCGGCATCCTCGCCTGGCAATCGCGATGCTCAGATTCCTTATTTGGAGGGACGGGAGGTGGGGAGCCAGAACGGCGGAGACCGCCCGGGCCAGGGAGGAAAATGTAGAGCAGAGGGGGGCGAGGAGAACAACACCCCCCGCACCCGCGCGGGGACAGGTGTGTGTGGTGTGTGTGTATGTGTGTGTTTGGTCTCCTGCGCCACTCAAGGGTTGGAACGTGGCAGCTCTCCACCTTCCTGCAGAGACCCCCAAATCACCTCGGGGAGGGGACCGCGCTGGCAAGGCCGGTCCTGTGGTCTGACGGAGTGGTGGAAGGTGCAAGGATATTGGCTCTCCAATATCTCCACGCATGGACCTCCTCGCACAGTCTGAGTATTCCACTTTCATCTTCTCTGGGTGTTTCCTCTCTCTGTGTTGTAAATCCCCAAAAGCCAAATATACCCGCAAAGGCAGGGACACCCACATAAATGACTAGCAAGCCCCCACTGAAGCAAAACTGACCAGACTAAGGCAAAGGCATCTAGTGAAAGGTTTCTAACTAGTTGACCACATATATTTTTAAATGTACATTGGAGTTTTGCCTGCATGGATGTCTGGGTGAGGATGCCACATTGCCTGGAGCAGTCGTGTGGGTGCTGGGAATTGAACCTAGGTCCTTTGGAAGAATAGCCTGAGTGACCAGAGTGGGCAGTGCTCTTAACTGATGAGCCATCTCTCCAGTGCCCCTGACTCTAATTTTTACCTTACAATTTAGGGTTGCCAGATAAAAACCCCAGGATGCCCAGTTAGATTTGACTTTCAGATGGGCAAAGCATAACATTTTACTGTAAGTTTATTGCATGAAATATTGATAAAAATTGTCTGAAATATTGCAGAGCAGACAATAAAATTTATTCATCGTCTAAAACACAAATCGAACCAGGCACCCAGTGTTTTTATTGGCTAAATCTGTCAATGCTAATTCCTTCTTTCCTTGAATTTAAACTCTGGGAACTCCATATCCTCCCTTCTCCAGTCCCTCCCCCAACCAGTTTCCTTCTTTTTGGCTTTTCGGTGGAGACTTGGTTTCTCTGAGACAGTCTATTTTTTAATTTCCCTCATCCTCTGGGTTTTATTTACTTTAGCTAACTCACCCTGGGTCTCAATCTAAAAGTCTTTGATGCTACTGCTAGGGACCAGGGTTGAGGCAGCGGAAGCTTTAGGGGGATTTCTTAAGGACATTGGGAGGAAATTAAACCTCAGAAAATAAGCCTGACTCCCACCCCCCCATTTCTTTCTAAGCAGTCTGTGGGTTGAGCTCAGTTTATGGCACAGGAGCACGAACAGCTGAATCAGCTGAATTAAGGCCTAAAGCTCGTTTCTCAGCCGCGGTTCCAGCCAGTAAACGGTTTGTCCCTCCTTCATGGGTGTTTTCTCAGTGTTTCCATCTTCAGCTGAACTTGTGCAAAGAGGCCTCGAACCTGTCGGGTCAGAGTGCTCCCCTCTACCTCCTCCCCCCGCCCCCCAGGGATCTTTTAAGCGGTCCCCAGCTCAGGCTGGCCCAGTCTCACAATGTAAACACTCAGAGAGTGGGGCCTAGAAGATGTGAGTAAAAAACAAACCAAAAGCAACAAACCCCCCAATCCTTCCCAGATGACTCTAGCCTGAGACCCAGGAATCTAAGGCAGGGATTCTCAGTGGCTGCTGAGAGGTGGCAGCGGAGTACCCGACTCAGACAGAATACCTCTGACTGCTAGTGGGCAACTCGGAAGTGTGTGAGCCCTCTCTGTTCCTTCCTTGTAGCATCTGCTCCCCTTCACCCCACCCCAGCAGCACCAGCTCCATAAATCACTCCCCAGTGGCCTCTCTCTCTTTCGTCCTCTTCATTCCTGGTTGGTGCTTCCTAGGAACCCTCCCATCACATGCTGTGCCTGCCACCCTGCTTTCTGGGTCTGCAGTGGAGATACCTTAGTTTGGTGGGTTATGCTGCTTTCTGGGTTGCCACATGATTTTTTTTTTTCGAGACAGGGTTTCTCTGTTTTGCTTTGGAGCCTGTCCTGGAACTCGCTCTGTAGATCAGACCGGCCTCGAACTCACAGAGATTCCCCCTGCCTCTGCCTCCTGAGTGCTGGGATTAAAGGCATGCACCACCAACGCCTGGCTCCACATGAATTCTTGATGTAAAGGAATATCAGAAGACCCCAGTGTTTGGATTTCTGAGGCTTAGACACTAAACATTGTGGTATGAGGTCTTGTTTTGTTTTCCAAGCCTAGCTTCTTCAACTCTGCATTGAGGTTACCTATCTCAGAAAAAGAAAAAAGAAAGAAGGAAAAGAAAAACAGAAAGAAAAAGAAAGAGAGATGATATTTAGATTTTTTTTGTTCAGAGAGATTTGGCCCAATCCATCTGACTTAGCCATGGCTTTACATCACCCTTTGCAGCCCAGCCAACTTGATCTCTAACCAGATGGAAGGAAGATCCTTGAGGGAGATGAGGCACTGGGTGTACTTGGTGGGTACATTGTGCTGTGACACTGGTGACTGATAAAGCCTGAGGAATCAGCAAGGGACATTCATGCTTATGGTAAGGCTGGTTTTCTTGGTTCTGTGGACACACTCTATTGTTGTAAGGTGAAGATCTACTGGGATATCCGGGTCCTTGTGTTCCAGGACAAACTGAAACAAAGCAAGCAATTACAGAATGCGTAGGTAATAGAAATGGAGACAGTTTACCAAGAAAAAGAAAGGTGTTCCCCAGAATGAGCTACAAAGAGACAGGTGCTCGAAAGCACTGGGCCAGCAAACGCATGCCCCTTCTCAGGTCATTTACATAGCACCTGCCTTCTCCCATGTTTGTGTATTACTGGGCTTGTTGATGCAGGTAGCCCAGGTGGTGATGAGTTTCTAGTCCTTTTGGGCCACAGGCTCCCTGTCACACGTCAGTCTCCACACCTCTCTCTCCATCCCTTTACCTTCCCACCACTTGTGTTTCCTGCTCTCAGCATTCATCAGCTGCACTGGACCAGCCCTGCTTCCTCTGTGCCTCTTTCCTCTGTCTTGGGGACTCCACAAATTTCCAAAATCCACAGTTATGTCTGAGGATCTTGGCAGGCATCAGGATGCTTTTGGTAACAAGCAACAGGAAATTGACTCGGACCATGGTACCCTTTCCCTTCAATTCTCTCATCAGTTCACCTCTGTAGACTTAGTGGGGTTTTTTTGTTGTTTGTTTGTTTTTCAGCTGGGTCCCCCTGGGGTTCCAAGCCTTACTCCCTCCAGATTGCATTTGTGTTCAGTTATCTAGTACCAAGATAACTGAATTCTCTCAGGCCCACTCACTGTGGCATTCCAGGAAAATGTCACTCACAACATGACTTAAGTTCAGCTTGTATCAGTCACTGGGGCAAGTGGTCTAGAATTACTGAGTCTGGATTGGGACAGGGTCACACACACAATGCTTGCCTAATCCTTGGGGAGAGTGAGAAGAGGTTTGAGAACAGTTGGAAATTTATGAAGGGATATCATGGAGAGATAGGGGTCAGGTAGGAGAGCAGAGGGCCCAAGCATACTCAGTTGATTCTCAGACAATGCCCTCCTATAGATGCGGTCTTTTACAACCATGTCCTCTGAGATACTTAGCTGATTGTGCCATTTTTTTTTCTTCTTTAGTAGAATGGCTCCTGGAAAGGCCTTGTGGCCCAGTGATTTATTAAGGAAGTGCTCTCAGGGGTAATGAAGAAAGCAGTTCAGGGCGGCAAGGACACTAAGCTAAGGACAAGCTCAGGCAAAGTCCCCAGAGGATGACTCTGACATGGTCTCCGGAGGCTGGAGAGACACCTTTTTGAGGGTCAAACCCTTGCCCAAGCCACTGGCAAAGGATGGGGGGGGGGTCGGTAAATTCTAAGCACAGTGAGTTCATAGTATTAGTTTATCTTTTTTGTTGCTATGACCAGAAATGACCTGGGCTTCACTTTGGTTCACAGTTCAGAGGGAGACAGTCCATCAGGGAAGGGAAGGCCAAGAGGTGGGAACAACTTGGTCAGTGGTGTCAACCGGGAAGTAGAGAAGAGAAATACCAGGATTCAGCTCAACTGATAAGACATGCAGCACAAGATTGGACCTAAGCAGATCCCATTGGACCTAGGGAGAGACAAATACACCATGAAGGCAGAACTTATGAGAAGTTTATTGGAAGGAGGGAAAGTGTAAGCATTGTGGCTCAGGTGGAAAGATATTCTGGCACTCAGGAACCAAAGAGTACTGAGTGTTACAGCTCAGATGGAAAGGTATTCTGGCAATCGGGGCCAAGGACTACCACAGGTCACAGTAACCGTAGCAGTTCATAGCCCTGCTCCAGGGAAATGCTTCCGCAGTATTAACAGCTCTCCAGTTTACAGCCCTCCTCCAGGGAGGGCTTCCCCAGTAAAGTGGTTACATTTGGCTCCCAAGTTTAGCAACTCAGCTTCTCTAGGGGAAGGTTTCCCCCCCAAAGTGTTACAACTCTGCTCAGTCCTGTCCCACTCTGCTTTGGAAAACTTCTCTGCTCCATTCCCACAAAGGAAGGTCTCACCCAAAACTCATTCAAGAGATTTATTGGGAGGGAAGAATCCATGAGAGTGGTTGCCTCTGCTGGGGTAAAAGAAGACAGCCAGACAGCCACAAACTGAACAGGCACAGGTTATATAGGGTTTCTTAGGAGCAGACTTTTTCCAGGGAAAAGATTTCCAGGGTGGGGATTGGTCAGATTTCAGTCCCTGAACTCAGATTGGCTAGATCTCGTGCTCAGGGATTGGTTGGTTTTCTGCTCAGAGTCAAGGGCAAATTTGGTTCTGGTTTCAGGGCCAAAGTGTATTTCTTTTATTGGTCTTTTTTTAGCCCATTGGCTCTAATTTTAGGGCCAGGATGTATTTCTTTGACTGGCTCTGATTGTAGGGACAAAGTGTGTTTCTTTGGCACTAGTTTCAGGGTCAGGGTGCATTTCTTCCAGGGTACTACTTGCCATGCACGGAGGGGTTACCCACTCGGCCAGGCCCCCAAGTGGCAGGGTCTAGGTGTTCCTGGGTGCTAACATAGACTGTTTTCCTTTTCTTTTTTATTCAGTCTGAGATCCCAGCCCATGGGCTTCTGCTGTCCACATTTAGGGTCGATCTTCCTTTTCTTTTCTTTTTTTTTCTTTTTTAATAGGGTTTCTCTGTGTAACAGCTCTGGCTGCCCTGGAGCTCATTCTGTAGACCAGGCTGGTCTCGAACACACAGAAATCCTTCTGCCTTTGCCTCTGCCTCCTGAGTGCTGGGATTAAAGGTATGCACCACCCCCCATGTCAGATATTCCTTTCTTAGACAGGTCTGGAAACACTCATTATGGGGTGTTTCTGTTTTGGTTAGTTTTTGTTTTTTAAATATTTATTTTTATTCAGGTATAGAGTCCAGAGGGATGTCTGATCCCCTGGATCTGGAGTTACAGGTGGTTGTAAGCTGGGTGTTAGAAACTGAATTTGAGTCTTCTACAAGACCAGCAATAGCTTTTAGCTACTAAATGGTCTCTGAGCCAGCCCAGGTATTTCTTAATCCAATCAAATTGTCAACCAAATCAACTGACATCCTGCCCCCTCACACAAGGTGACTCCAACAGTCTCAGGAAAGGGCCTCAGTCACGCACTGCGGGAAGAGGAGTTCTTTAGACCTGGGAGGGGCTAGGGACACACCAAAGGCAAAGAAGGAGCCACAGTGCAGAATCGATGACACACTGCTCCAAGCCAGTTCTGGTGTCAGCCCTCTTCCAGGAAGCCAGGCCTCAGCAGGAGTCTCACATTCTCCCAACCTCCCCCCATTGAGGTTAAATTGCTCAGGACCTTCAGCTTAATTAGTTGTCAACATTTAAATCTCAGGTGTTTTTTCACATAAAAATCCAGTTTTCTGGCTCCTCTGGGGTAAAAACAACAACCAGGTTTGTAATCCTAGGCCCACATATCCTCTGGTAGATGCCATAGAGTCTGGCCAAGCCGTATGAGGTCACCTTGGTGAATAGTGCCATAGACCCCTTCGCTCTCTCAAGCTCCAAGTCTGTGAGCTATAGTTTTTCTTGTAGGAGAGCAAAGAAGAGAGAGAAATATCTGCAATCAGGGAGGTTAATATATATGTATGGAGTACGTCTGACTTTAATACATACAGCCCGGGACGCATTAGTGTTTTGTGTGCCTGTAGGGCCCTGTGTAGTGAGCAGTGTCCTTTCCACCCTGATGCAGAGGCTGGGCCTCCCTACTCTATCCCATTTTGTTAAAAGCAGCTGTTTTTCCCCTTCCAGCTTTCCAAGCGGTGATTTCATCTTTTCCCCTGCCCCCACCCCCCACAAAAGTTTAGAGCCAGGAGAGAAACGGTTTGGCAGGAAGTCAACACTTCTGTGGGAGGAAGAAGACAATGTGGAGAGAGTGGAGGCCAAGCAGGGGCTCTGAGGACTCCAAGAAGCCCCACCATCCCGGGGATCCAGATGCGTGTGGGGGGGTGCTCTTTTGCTTTCAGCAACTTCACTTAAAGGTGGAGTCCTGAAAGTTCTTTCATGCCACAGTTTGTTTCTGGTGTAGTCTGAGAGAGCTCGAGGGCAGCCGAGGGGGAAAGGAAATGGAGAGAGGATGGATTCCCCCACTCCCAAGCTGGAGCATCAACTCCAGCCCTCCGTTCTGCCCACCTTGGCTCCAGCAGCGGAATTTTGAGCCTGTTGTGTTGTGCTGGGACATAGGGAGTCCAAGCACTAACGGGGTGGTTAATGGGTAACCAGGACCCAGGCAACTGGCCCACAGACACACCAGATCCAGGAAGACCCCAGGGGGGTTTGCACCCAGCTCTTGGAGTCTCATGTTGCCCTTCAATCCCCATTCCGCAGCAGCTCCTTAGTTCTTCTTATCCAAGCCCTCCCTCCCCCCACCGGTACATCTGAGCCAACATCTTTGAGCTCTGGAAAAATTCCTTTCCCCTTAACTTTGAAAAAAAAAAGGTTGAAAATTTCCAAAGGGAACATGTAAGTAGGACAGAAAGGGAAACCCAGATGTGGAGAGGTGGCAAGTTTGCAGAGCACACGTGGCTGTGGCAACTTGATCTAATGTCTTGGGGTAAGGTCACTGGTGTGCACACACACTAGGGGCATCTACTCCTTGCAATTCTCTGAGGAAGCTGGGTCTGGAGGAGGCTGAACACAGGTTGCTGTGTCTGCTTTCCTCCTAGTGGGGACCTTAGCACCTCCTATGTTTTGAGCCTTTTGGGGGAAAGGGGCTCAGGCCCAAACTGAAACACTGGAGGGGCCTGGGGTTCCCTGAGTCGTGTGGTCCTGCCTCCTTTCCCAAGAAAAGCACTGAATTTCTGTCTTCTAGAAGTCACTGGTTTCTGGCTCCAGGTGGCTCCCTGTCAAACCCTACTCTGTCTCTGTACCTGGTCAGGTTTCCAGGGCCTACATGGGGCTCATACTGACTCTGTTCTGGAGCAGCCATGTTCCAACAGATGTGGTGGTGCTCCTTGCTTGAAGGATATGACACTTTTGGGATCCTCCTGGTTCTGACTTGAGACACTGGATTTATCTTTGGGGAAACAACTT